GGAAAATAGAGGAACCAAAATGAAAAAATCTTACACTTTACTTTAAAAGAGCTGTACAGAAACTTAAAATAGTTACACAAATTCAGAAAGAAATTAGATTATAGGTTAAAAACACAGAACAAATGTTGCAAATATTAAAACAAACTTGAAAAAAAAGATTCATCTAATCCCTAATGCTCAAAAACTCAGAATAAAGAAAGAAAACAATGAAATGGAACTTAAAAATCTTATATTTTAGTATAAAAACAGCTATAGGGAACTTAAAAGTTATGTAGAAGTAATAGAATTTCAGGTTCAAAAACCGTTTTTGTGTCATTCTGATGCATTTTTTTCTGTGGATAACCTCAGGTTGTGTGTCTGACGCAGCCAGCATGGCCTCACGTGCTGTGCAGTCAGAACAGTGTTTGGTAAGACTCGGCTCGGCGTGGCCGTGTCGTTTTGAAGCGACTCACAGTCACGGCGAGGTGTGGGCACCTCCACGCCCTCTTCACTCCCCCAGCAGGGAAATGTTTGAACAGATCTTCCCTGGCAAACAGGACTATCTGCAGTTCAGGGGCAGCCGACACACCCTCCTGTCAGAGCTGTCGGGACTCGCCTGGGGAATGCCCTGCTGAGATCCGACTCCACAGTGGATCTGTGACATTAATCCTAAAGCAAGGACACGTGTTCATCAGTGGGAACTGCTGAATGACTGGAGCGCTTTCTACTTCAGGATGAAGTGGATTAAAACATAAACCTGTGCAGCTTTGTGTTTCAGAGAGTGAAACCGCACTTTTTACTGAGATGTTATCTTACTGTGTTGTGATTTTGGCTCAGGTTGAGCTGCATGTTTGCTCTGTTTGTTCCACTTCACACATCAACTGCAGCAAAAGTCCCAACTCGCATTTCTGTTTTGCATGCCTGAGAAATGTCTCAGCCAAAATTACAGAGTTTAAAACTGAAACAAAACACGTAGAGTCTGAAAAGGGGGGCCACTGTATTTATTGCTTTTGACCATTTTTGAGCATAAATGTTCACTTGGTCGACAACTTCTTGACTAAAATTGTTTACATTTTTTGGTAAATGACAAGTACTGTATCTGCAGCTGATTGCTAAAGTATTGTAAGGGTCACCTCGAGGGGGAAAACACACCCCTGTTGCCTCACACTTTGAAAATGAGGAAAAAAATAATTAGAGGCAAAACTACAGCTCTGAAGCTACAAACAATTTTATTTGAAAAATAATTTAAAAAAGTGACAACAGCAACAAAACAATACAAAACCTGTTAAACACTATGGCATTTAACAAAAGCCCAGACAGATCTCAGTGGTTGTACAGCTACAGCTGAATAACTTTCTGTCCATCCAATTCAAGATGGCTGTCATAGCTAATCAACGTTACATTTGCAACATATTGAGCTAAAATTTGGTTTTGTAGCTGGGACTTAGTAAAAACTCACACTCACTTATACATAGGGTTCCCCAAAGGTGAAATAAACATTTCCACTTGTCTTTGACTTTGGTTTTCAAAAGAAAAAAATCCTTTCTTAAAAGACTTATTTTCTTTTCTTTAATAAACAGAATAATACTGTTCTTCATGTTTTTGATTTATATTCTATTTTTAACTAAAAGTTATTATCATTTTATAAATTGAAGTTGTCTAATAAATTATTCTTTGCATTTATTTTCAGAAAAAGAAAATACACACCATGAGAAAATGGTTGAAATATCCCTTTACATGTTTCACACAAATGCTTGTTTAATCAACTAATGTCCTTACAGTAAAGCGATTAAGTGTTTTTCTTTTTATTATTCCATTTAATCAAAGCTGATTGTTGAGTTATTACTTCATTGAGTTATATTTTGAAGTATAATTACTGAAGTATTTGTGTTTAATCATAGAAAAGTGTTTCTTGGATTTAATTCAGTTAAAGTGATTCTTGTGAGCATTCAATTACTTTTAGTCCATTGAAACTGTGTCAAAGTACCTTGTTGTTCAAGAACCAGGTGAAAATTTTGTTTTTCTCTGGCGAGAACAGACTCAACATTCTGTTTCTGCCTTTACTAACCAAGGTCACTTAGCTGTCTGGCTATTTAGAGTCCTAACACACGAATTTAGTTAGTCTGAAGTCTGAATTTGAATGACGAACGAAACACAAGTTTTTAGTCTCATCTGAACTTCCTGCGGGAAAAAAATAATTATATAGGTCCTCTGGACGGGTTCTTCTCTAATGAAACGTTTCGTCTCTCCTCCAAGAGACTTCTTCAGTCTGAGAGTTTCAGGTAAAATTCAGGCTTTTAAGCCCTGCCTCCATGTGACTGATACTCACATCACATGGCTATCGTTGACACCTAATTAACACCTATTGTTAACACGGGGTGGAGTGATATGGCAATAGCACTGTATTAGGGGGACAACTGAAAATGGAGGCCTCCACCTCTGTTTAATGATGGACGGTCTTTCTTCACAAAAATGGCTTCTTTTACTCCTCTCTCAAACCAACGTTCCTCYCTATCAAGAATGAGAACATCCTCATCTCTGAAAGAGTGACCGCTGGCCTGTAAATGGCCTCATTTACAGGCCAGCGGGGCACCGGATCTTTGGGGCACCGGATCACCCCAAAGATCCGGTGCCCCGGCACAAACAGAGCAATATTGTATATGCTGTTAAGTGCCAGGAGGACTGCGACCAGTTATACATCGGGGAAACAAAGCAGCCACTGTTCAAAAGAATGTCCCAACACAGACGAGCTACATCTAATGGCCAGAACTCTGCAGTTTTCACTCATTTACAGGCCAGCGGTCACTCTTTCAGAGATGAGGATGTTCTCATTCTTGATAGAGAGGAACGTTGGTTTGAGAGAGGAGTAAAAGAAGCCATTTTTGTGAAGAAAGACCATCCATCATTAAACAGAGGTGGAGGCCTCCGTTTTCAATTGTCCCCCTCCTACAGTGTTGCTATTACCAGTATCACTCCACCCCCTGTTAACAATAGGTGTTAATTGGGTGTCAACGATAGCCATGTGATGTGAGTATCAGTCACATGGAGGCAGTGCTTAAAAGCCTGAATTTTGCCTGAAACTCTCAGACTGAAGAAGTCTCTTGGAGAAGAGACGAAACGTTTCATTAGAGAAGAACCCGTCCAGAAGGCCTATACAATTTTTTTTCTTTTTGATTTTTTACCTGGATTACTTAGATGCATCAGGACACTTCCTGCGGGAAGTTCAGCTTAACGGGATTCTTTTTCTCAAGAGCTAATGAGAAAAGTCTCCTGTCTGGAGCTAAGGCAACATCAGCCTTAATTCCAGTTTTGAACTTTTTTCCTGAAAAGAGCCGGACTGCCGAGCTGAAGCTTGTCTCTTGACTAAACGGCAGATTTTCTGCGATGCTGTAAACAAAAACCCCGGTGAGTCATGCTGACCACCCTCCTGACCTGCCTCTGTGACGGTGAAGCCACCAACAGGTAGAGGAAAGTTTTTGTCAGCTAGGGAGTCCAGCTGAGTGGGAGACGGAAGCTGATCTAGGTTGTTCTGGTAATCTTGATAAGATAAAAAATTAAAACTAAATATTTACTAATTCTCTTTTCCTTCTTTCTTAATCTAAACCTTGCCATAAGTTAAAGTGCCTGTAAATTAAGTTTTATAACATCCAAAACTTGTTTACTGTTTCATGTGTTCCCTTTCTGAGTGTTTATTCACAATACTTCACATCGGACGCGAGGTGGTTTATTGTTAATATCTTATCTCATAAAGTTTTGATTATTAAGCTTTAATTGTATATAGTTAAGTTCATTTGTCTGTAAATAAATAACTTTATTTTAGAAAATTTAACTGGACTGGAACTACAAATTGTTATCTTTATCTCACTTCCATTCTGAGAGGTATTGTCTTCCATAAAAGAACGCGTGTTTCCTCAGTAATTGAGAAGGTGTAGAACCCTGGTGGACAAGGTTCTTACACACTTCTTTAC